GACCATAGGTGAGGGTAGGAACGAAAATGGCCTGGTATACAGAGAGCTTTGCCTTCTGGCTCAGCTCCCTTTTCGTCACAACGGTGCGGTAAATATAATACATTTAATTAAAGTCAATGTTTCAGTTTTTTCAGTGCTTGTAGATAGATAAATAGATAGATATATAGATGGATAGTGTGAGGGCTACAAACATCACAAACGAACACACATCGTAAAGGTTATGATTTTGTTTACATTACACAGACACATTGATTTAAAACAGCTTTATTTTGCTAGATTGAGTGCAGGCAATCTTGTTTAAAATATCTATTGTATCGCCAACAGCAGCTGATGGTACCAAAGTCTGTTAGAGACCTTGTCCTTGAGCTGGGTCACTCTATTCCCTGGGCAGGTCACCTAGGGAAACGCAAAACTGTTGACCGAATCCAGAGACATTTCCACTGGCCTGGTCTACGCGCTGATGTGGCGCAGTATTGCAAAAGTTGTCCTCAATGTCAACAAACCTCAGCCAAATACCCTTCAAAAGTCCCTCTTCAACCATTGCCAGTCATAACTACTCCATTTGAACGATTAGGTATGGACATTGTGGGCCCGGTAGAAAGAAGCAAGTCTGGAAATCGCTTCATGCTAGTAATAACTGACTACGCTACAAGATATCCTGAAGTTTTTCCGTTTAAAACTGTCAAAGCAAAGTCAATTGCTTTTTGTTTGATGCAGTTCTTTGCGAGAGTAGGGTTTCCCAAATAAATTCTTACTGATCAAGGGACTAACTTTATGTCTAAGTTAATACAGGATGTGTATAAACTACTGGGGATTAAAATAATCAGGACTACCCCCTACCATCCTCAGACTGATGGTTTGACGGAGAGGTTTAACCAAACACTGAAACAAATGCTCAGGAAGTTCATCTGTGAAACAGGATCTGATTGGGACCAGTGGTTACTAGGGCTGTGCATCTTCACTGGTCTCACGATTCGATTAGATTACGATTATCCTGTCAACGATTCGATTCAATTCGATATCCCGATGCATCACGATTCATACCAATGCGTTGCATCCTCAATTTTCTATATTACTGCACATGGCTTATTTTTCATCAATGCATACATGCAGTAAATACATATGAACTCTCTTTTTATTATTTAGAAAGTGCTTCAGAAATCAATAACATAAATGTCTTGACATTCATTTATAAACCAAAATAAATGAATTGTATAGGTCTAGCCTCCCTATATCTGTGTGTGAAGTTGTTCCATCCTCAAAAACAAAAAAATAATGCTTCTGCAGTCTAGCTGTAGCTTCTAGCAACGGCCTTCTGTTAAAGAAAGGACACTGAATGTCCTGAATGTGGCATTACACACAGGACTTGAGTCTGAACACAGAAGACAACAGGAGTATTTACAACAGCATATAACAACTAAAATACTGCATGTGGGTGCACACTTACATTCTCTGTCTTACTGTTACATAAATCCCATGAATGTATGAGATTAAGTTAGCTTCATTATATTTCAGTGATTAAGTGACTAATAAAGTTTCTATCGGGTCACTATCAGCCTGTCACTCATTATTTTCAGGGAGGGGGCGGGGTTTGGAGGAACGGAGAGGAGACGGTGATCGCGGAAGCTTTTTTCCTCCTGCCTTCACAAACTTTACACAAGTATATATCGTCTGAAAATTGCTAGAGGACATTCATACTTTGCAATCCAAGACTTAATTAAATCCACCAAAAACCTGACATGATTGTAACGCGATTATTTTTGAAAAACATAAATCCCTGTGCCGCAGCGACACGGAGTGATTCAGAGCGGGTCCTTCAGGCTGTTGGTTCTGGACTGGTGTTCTTGTGTTGGTGGATAAAGCAGACTGCTCCGTGTTTGGTGATGCTGTGCCGCTGTCACGTCTGTTCCCTGATCTCTGCGTCACCGACCGATTTGATATTAAAGTGACAGAAAAAAAAAACGTTATAGTAAAGCCGCGGCCGGAAAATCAGGAAGCAACATTACTACGCTATAACTGATTATCTTCCGTCACTGCATCGAGACCGAATCGTCCACGTCCGCATCGCAATGCATCGTAGAAACGATTATTTTCAACACCCCTAGTGGTTACCCAATGTGTTTTTTGCTTTCAGAGAAGTCCCTCAAGCATCAACTCGGTTCTCCCCGTTCGAACTCTTATATGGACATGAGGTAAGAGGCCCACTTTCTTTGCTCAAAACTCACTGGGAAAAGGATCCCAAACCAGGTGAGCCACAGAGTATCATTGTCTATGTTGTCCACATGAGGGAGAAACTGAGCAGAATGACTGCACAGGCCCAGCAGAATGTGTTGGAGGCCCAAATAAACCAAAAAACCTGGTATAGGCCGCAAGGTGAACCTCGAAAAGTCCTTTAGAAAAGAAATCCCGCTCCACAGAAGTGAAACTACACAATCTTTAGTTCATAAAAAAGAACGATTCATGCTTATCCACCAAAAAAAATTTCGTCGCTAAAATTCCTGCCAATTCTTCTAGGCACGTAATTATTGGCTGAACTAGTCCCTTCGAAGCGTAATAATATCTTGGTCCAAAGTCGTGCCACGGTTCATCACGTGATCGTGCTACACCAATTGGGTAGCTGCATATTGTCAACAGAAGTGAAAGATGGCGGCCGCCATGGTTTCATCGAGTAGCGGAGACGAGGAAAACGCACCAGAAAGTCTCAAAAAGTCAAAATTGTCAACACACAAACATTGTTACATGCATATTACGTCTGTGAAGCACGAAAAGGTTGATTGTTTTACCAATACAAGATGGAATACGTACAGGACAAGCTTACAACGGTCGCTCGGCTTGAAGGGAGACTCTCGGAACGTGGTGGCTGAAAACCACAAGCACTGTCTTGATTTCGAGTTCGAAGATATTCCTGAGGACGCTGGCTTCCACCACACATGCTACATAAGGTTTACCGACACAAAGGCCATGACGAAGGTGGAAAGACGGCTCGCACGTGAGGGAGATCAAGACGTTAGGGAGGACCTTGAGGTCGAGCCCATCCCATCGACGTCTCGCAGCACGTACCGAAGCCAAACAGAGAAGCTACGATCAAGGTCAGGCCTGCCAATCGCAGGCTCTGGCCCCGTCCTTCCTGCCCTGTGCATTATATGCAAGATGAAGGAGAAAATGATCATCAAAGCAGGCAAGCGACAAAGGGATCAACTGTGTAAGGCTGAAACATTAAAAGCAGGTAAGCAAACCCCCTCCCCCACCCACACACCACACACACACACTACACACACCACACACACACACACACACATTCTCTGTGGTTGAATAACTGAAAGGTACAATTATGTGTGAGAGATACGTCAACAAACTCATTGAGTTGTCCTTTTTTTCCGTTTAGGCAAATTGCAGAAAGCTGCTGAGAAGAAAGATGACCAAAGTGTTCTTTTACATATAAAAGACAAAGACTGTGTGGCTCTGGAGGTGCGGTACCACAAAAGCTGTTACAGTCAGTACACCATGTTTTTGCTGAGACCTGACAAACCAGAGACAGAACAGTAAGTTATTTCTCCTTGGATTGCTTTACCTATTTGCACTACCACCAGACTGAAGTCCAGGTGTGTGTCGGCGATGGCTATATATATATATACACATACACATACTTAACATTATAAGTAAACATCCAATTTCCTTCTGTTATATGTGCACACAATCACAACACTTATTCATTTATCCATTTATTTACTTCTCATTCATGTGTTGTAGGGATGAGGCAATGTTTGATGCCAGTTACAAGCTGTTCTGTGAGAGGATCATCCGCCAGAGGCTGCTTGTCAACAATGAGGTGCTTAGAATGGGCCAGCTGAGGCAGGCCTTCATTGACATGGTGAAAGCAAACGAAGGTGTTGATGCTTCAAACTACAGGTAACTGCAATGTAATACAAGTCTTATTATTTATCATGTGCAAGGCCAGCTTTAAACAAAATGTGTATGACAGGCCTGTTTGGAGAAACCCCCATGATGTGTAGTGTGTAGTGTTGTTTGTGATGATGTGGGCCTTTATTTGGCTTCTTTGGTGTTAAATGTGCTGTATGGCAGATAGGTTCTAGTCTGTAATGTCTTGTATCACCTCCACCACTCTGCTTTTGATGGTACTCCTGTGACTCGTAATTGTCACTGTTTTGTTGTGTTACAGACAGGATCTGTTGAAGAAGAGGCTGGCTCAAGATTTCCCTCAGCTAGCGTTTCACATGCCCACCAAGCGCAACGTCTGCGAACTGGTTTTTGCTGAGACTCTGTCAAAGGATGCACTCGTGGACATGCTACCAGATCCATCCGGTACGGAAACAACACAGTCCAGTGAATTGAGCCAGACAGACAGCGACAATGAAACAGGGAGAACAAAGTGCCAAACAACACATGAGGACACAAGGACACTGTATACAGCAGCGTTGTTTTTGAAAAGACTGCTTAGTGACACTCCTGGCATGTCATGCCCATGGCCTCCCACTTCTGAAAATGTAAATGTCACTGAATCTCAAACTGTTGTCCCCATTGGACTATACAATCTGCTCAGCTGGATTATAGGTTCCACTGAGGAGCCAACACTGGATCATTATGTCAACATTGATGATGACGTACATTTGAAAGTGTTGTCTGTTTGTCAAGACATTGTGTACCTTGCTTCCAAGGGCCGCAAGCAGACACCCAAGTCCTTGGCTTTAGGTTTAACTGTTCGACATTTAACTGGATCATCACGCATTGTATCACTGCTTAACAGACTGGGACATTGTGCATCATGGGACACAGTTTTGAGTCTAGACACTAGCCTTGCCCAACTGACACTAGTAGAAGTGTCACATCACTCATAGATACGTTTGTTTTTGGTACTAGAACAGAGTATAATCAGCAGGACTCTTTTAACCAGCTGAGGCAATCACAGCACCAATCAGCCGCTCCGCCCAGCCTGACACCAATCAATTATACTACATTACATGTCCTTCTACTGTTTTCTATGTCATACCTTTTATATTTGTAATAAATCTCGTTTTTATGGTTCATCAGTGTTGTTTTCATTTGTGGAGGGATGAATGAGTAAATAAATGAATCAATGGACATTGGTATAAGTAAGGCAAGGCAAGTTTATTTATATAGCACTTTTCAACACAAGGCAATTCAAAGTGTTTTACAAAAAATTAAAGACATTAAGAAAATGGCATTTAAAATCAGTCATTCAAAAGAAAAGCTAATAAAAGAAACATTAAAAGAAAAAATACATGGATAAAAGTTACAGTGCAGTCTAAGATATGAATAGTTCAATTAAAAGCAGCAACAAAAAGAAAAGTCTTCAGCCTGGAAGTACTGCATTTTATTGATCTAAATTACTTAACGTAACAAGTTAACCTTCTTCTTGGACGCAGAAATCAAGTCATGTTTATTTTAAGAGTGCATTTAACGTGTACAGGGTAACAACAGACAGACAAAAAGTCCTCAGTCTAATGGAATAATCCCAATGAACCTAGCGATGTGAACATGGCAGTCCAGGAATGATAGTTTGATAAATATGAGTTTGATATACTTTATTAATCCCCGTGGGGAAATTGTTTGTAGCTGGAGTTGGCTGATAAACGCTGCTAGTCAATGTTGATTCGATGGTCAACTCTGTTCCCAGATAGTAAAACCTCTCACAAATACCGCGTATATAACGCAAATACCTCGGACTTAGTGATGTATTAAGACATATGACAAAACATGACATAAAACAAGCATACAGCACTGTTTAGAATCCATTTGGTCTGGTTTAGCGTAACCATGGCGGCCGCCATCTTTCACTTCTGTTGACAATATGCAGCTACCCAATTGGTGTAGCACGATCACGTGACGAACCGTGGCACGACTTTGGACCAAGATATTATTACGCTTCGAAGGGACTAGTTCAGCCAATAATTACGTGCCTAGAAGAATTGGCAGGAATTTTAGCGACGATATTTTTTTTGGTGGATAAGCATGACTCGTTCTTTTTTATGAACTAAAGATTGTGTAATTTCACTTCTGTGGAGCGGGTTGAAACGATAACAGGGTTCACCTTATGGCCTAGTATGACAGATCTGCCAGGGAGAGGAGTTTTTCTGCTGGACAAAAGGTTTTGGTTATGCTTCCCACACAAGACAACAAACTCCTCGCAAAATGGCAAGGGCCTTTATGAGGTAAAGAAAAAAATAGGTGCAACCCCTGGCGAAGCACGCTCCCAGAGAATTTTGCATGTTAACCTATTAAAGGAATGGTTTCTGTAGAGTTATATTTGTATTTATTCATGTTAGCAAACTATGGATAAGCTTAAAATGGGAATAATTTGGGTAAAACTGTGAGCTGGATATGGGGCCTGTTGACATGTGTTTTTGAGGACAAAGGAAGATGGGGGAAGGTGAGAGCATGTCCTGATTTGCATTCAACTTAGAACGAGCTACAGTGGTTGTGCTATTAAGAGAGGTCCCTTGGGTTTCTCTGGTGGTTATCAATAGTAGCAGTTAAGTGAATACTGTTCAAACAATACCTGTGTTTGTGTTTTATATTGATTTCTCTGTTTTATCCTTTCATAAATGTAAGGACTACAAATGGCTATAAACATTCTGGGCTGGTTGGAGTAAACAGGGTTTTATTGCTCTGTGGGGGAGGTGTAGGTATGCAGGCCTTGAGACCTTTTGTTGTAAAGTGAGCCTGTTTGGTTTCCTGCTGGCCAGCGTTGCGTCTCCCAATGAGATGACCTGAAAAGATGACCAGCTGACCTAACACCAAACCCCTCCTTCTTACTCTGGTATATATCCGGTGGATCCCTGGCGTTCGGCCTCTCTTCACATGCTGCCCGAGCGGAAGGATCTCCGCAGCACGCGAACCAGGGCAGGAGTAGGCCGGCATTACTCCTTAAGCATTACAATATAACTGTAATATATCATGTTGTATTGTAATGATTGTATTGCATTGTCATATTGCCATTAAAGTAGATTATTGTTAACGGTTACTTTGTAGATATGGATTCCTTCCTGTATTATAACCAGCTTCATAGGAACGCGCGGAGATTTGAAAAGCGGATCAGATATCCCTTTAAATCTCCAACATTTCCCAGGTCCGACAAAAAGGAAGTGTTGTTGATTAGACATGTGGAAGAAGAGGATGACGAAGATGCGCAGTACCTTCCTCTACCTGTCGCTGCTTTGCCTGATCTCAACCACCTAACAGCTGATGAACAAACCCAGGTCAGTGCCCTCTGTGTCCCAGAAGTTTTTAAAGAAAATCCTGGTTGTACAAACGTTATTGACCACAACATTGTGCTAAAGAGGAATGCTTCTGTGCGAAGATTGAGCTACAGAATCCCCGAGCGCCTCCTGGTGTCCCTTTTTAAAAAGGAAGTGGATCTGATGATATCCCTGGGAATCATTGAGGTATCAAGAAGTGAGTGGTGCAACCCCATTGTATTGGTACCAAAGAAGGATGGCACCATACGGTTTTGCATAGACTTCCGTTATCTGAATGCAATTTCTGAGTTTGATTCCTATCCAGTACCTTGCATTGATGAACTCATTGATCGGTTGGGCAAAGCAACGTTTCTAACCACGATTGATCTATGCAAAGGCTACTGGCAAGTGGCGCTGACTCCACAGTCCCGTGAGTTAACAGCCTTCCGTACACCATGGGGTCTGTACCAGTTCTCCGTAATGCCGTTTGGACTGCATGGCGCACCAGCTACGTTCCAAAGATTAATGGACCAGGTATTGTTGGGATTGTCAGATTTTGCTGCAGCATATCTTGATGATATTGTCATTCACAGTGCTACATGGGAGGATCATTTGGACCATCTGAAAGCCGGCATTGGACGTCTAAAGGAGGCTGGATTGACTGTCAACCACTCAAAGTGCCAGTTTTGCAGGACTGAGACAGAATATCTTGGTTATATTATTGGCAACAGAGTTATCAGACCCCAGACCCACAAACTACAAGCCATCCAGTTCTGTCAGCCTCCGCAGACAAAGACCCAGCTGAAGTCATTCCTGGGAATGTCAGGTTGGTACCGTCGGTTTGTGCCTAACTACTCCTCTCGTGCTGCTGTTCTAACAGATATGACTAAGCGGATGGGCCCAACTTTGCTGCAGTGGAGTGAGGAGGCGGAGTCTGGTTTTAACGACCTCAAGGATGCACTGAGTAAGAACCCTGTTTTGTGTAGTCCTGATTTTGCTAAAGACTTAGACTCTCAAGTACTACCTCCTGGGAAGAGAGTTCATCCTACAAACGGATCATAAAGCCCTGAAGTGGATGGCAGGGATGAAGGATGCCAACAGCCGCATCACCCGATGGTACCTGGCAATGCAGCCATATAACTTCACCATCCAGCACATTCCTGGCCGGGACAACACTACTGCGGACTTCCTATCACGCTCTCATGGCGTGATTCCAGAAGGAGGGGAATGTGTGAGGGCTACAAGCCTCACAAACGAACACACATGGTAAAGGTTATGATTTTGTTTACATTACACAGACACATTGATTAAAACAGCTTTTATTTTTGCTAGATTGAGTGCACGCAATCTTGTTTAAAATATCTATTGTGATTTGTGTTGTGTGTAATCCTATTGTCGGTGTTTTACAGCTCACCTTGCTCCTGGCAAAAGGCTGAGCTGATGGGAAACACCTGCCTTTATAGATGTGTCAGCTAATTGGACTACACCATTCCTCTCAAACCCTGAGGGGTGTTTGAAGAGGCCACTCTATTTAAGCCACCCCTTTTTAGAGCCTCTTTTCCCTGCATGCAATAATGGACTGACCAGTAGTGCTATAAATTCCTGCAGTGTGGAGATGAGGAGGGGTATGTGAGTTGCTCTTGGACAGAAGAGCACACAGAATATCACCCATTTTTGTGACGTTCTGCTTATGCGTTTACATGCTAGATTGTGTCTGTTGATATCTATCAACAGAGAAATATCAGAGAAACTAGTCCATGCATTTGTTACTTCAAGGCTGGATTATTGTAACTCTTTATTATCAGGGTGTACCAAGAAGTCAGTCAAGTCGCTTCAGCTGATTCAAAATGCTGCAGCTCGTGTACTAACCAGAGTTAGGAAACGGGACCACATTACTCCTGTTCTGGCTGCCTTACACTGGCTCCCTATAGAACACAGGATAGAATTTAAAATTCTTCTTCTCGCCTACAAATCCCTTAATGGGCAGGCGCCATCTTACCTTAAATAACTCATTATACCCTACTGTCCTACTAGGGCATTGCGTTCCAAGAATGCAGGGTTGTTGGTTGTTCCTAGAGTCTCTAAAAGTACAATGGGAGCCAGAGCCTTTTCTTATCAAGCTCCACATTTGTGGAATCAGCTTCCAGTTTGTGTTCGGGCGGCAGACACCCTATCCGTTTTTAAGAGTGCGCTTAAGACCTTCCTTTTTGATAAAGCTTATAGTTAGGGCTGATTAGATTCAGCCCCTAGTTTTGCTGATATAGGCTTAGTTTGTCGGGGGACATCTTACTTCTTCCTTCTCTCTGTCTATACGTTGTGTACTCTCATGTTCCGATTAACCCAGCTTCCCCAAATGTCTTTCTTTTTGGTGTCTGTATACGCCGGGATCCGGAGTCATGGATGATCCTGCGCTCCTCTGTCCTGGATCTTGAGTCGTGGCTGTGGTCCTGGATCATAGGTCCTGGATGGATATCCTGGTGGATTCATCTTCCTATTATACACACATGCATTTCCAAACATTTGGACTACCTATGTTGCAAATGTATTATCTTTTCAATTTACACACGGCATCTATTGCACGTCTGTCCGTCCTGGGAGAGGGATCCCTCCTCTGTTGCTCTCCCTGAGGTTTCTCCCATTTTTCCCTTTAAACTGTGGGTTTTCTTCGGAAGTTTTTCCTTGTACGATGTGAGGGTCTAAGGACAGAGGGTGTCGTATTGTCATACTGATATTTTGTACAAACTGTAAAGTCCACTGAGACAAATGTAACATTTGTGATATTG